CCCAACAGTGCCTTTTTAAGAGCAGAAGCTTTTAATTCTGAAGTCCAGTTGTCAACTTTTTAAAAATGGATTAGGCTTTTGGTGTCATCTCAGAAAAATATTTGCCTAACTAAAGATCCCAAAGATTTTCTTCTATGCTTTCTTCTGGAATTTGTATTGTTTTAAGTTTTATGTTTAGGGCTGTGATCCATGAGTTAATTATTGTATATGGTGTGAAGCATAGATTGAATTTCCATTTTATTGCATATGGATCACCAATATTTTTACATCACCAGTTGTTGAACACCCTTTCTCTATTAAATTGCCTTTATACCTTTGCCAAAAATTAGCCATCCGTATATGTGTACGTCTATTTCTGTACTCTCTCCTGTGCCATTGCTCTATTTGTCTCTATGCCAATATGACACCATCTTATTTATTGTAGCTTTATAATAAATATTGAAATTAGGTAATGTTAACTTTGTTTCCCTTTTTCAGAATTGTTTTGACTATTCTAGATCCTTGTCATATCCATATGAATTTTAGAATTAACTATCAGTATTTATCAAAAACAAAGCTTGCTAGGTTTGTCATTGGGATTGCATTGAATCTATAGATTAGTTTGGGGACAATTGACATCTTTTTTTTTTAAGATTTTATTGGGGAATTGGGGGAGGGGAACAGTGTTGGGAAATTGGGAGAGGGGAACAACCAAGTTGTTGCCCTTCAAATCTTAGTAGTGGAGGGTGCAGCTAGCTCAGCTCCAAGTCCAGTTGCCATCCTGCCACGGCAGCTTGTGGCCACTCAGCTCAAGGTGCCGGTTCAATCTTAGTTGCGGGTGGGCGTAGCCCACCATCCCATGCGGGGAGTTGAACCGGCCACCTTGTTAGGAGCATATGCTCTCACCAGCTGAGCCATCCTGCTACCTTTTGGCAGCTCAGTGGAAGCTTACCTCAGGCAAAGGTCAGGTGACCCTGTTGCTCAGAGCTTGTGCTCTTAACCAACTGAGCCACTAGGCCAGCCTGACAATTGACACCTTTATTGTGTCTTTCAACCCATAAATGTGTTACATTTTTCCATTTATTTAGGTTTTCTTTTCTCTCAGCATTATTTGCTAGCTTTCAGAATACATACCTTTCACATCTTTTGTCAGCTTTATCCTCAAGTATTTCATTCGTTATGATGCTATTGTAAATGGTATTTTTAAATTTTTAATTTGCAATTATTTGTTACTGTATATGTGACAAATGAAAATATGAAAACCAATTTTTGTATATCGATCTTGTATCCTACAACTTTATTAAACTCACTTATTCTAGTAGCTTTTTGTGAGTTTCATAGGATTTTTAAACATTTTTTTAAATGGTAATGTATAATTGTTTTTATTCTACTATTACATTATAGTTTGAAAGTTTATATTTAGTTTTTCATTTCTAAAAATAATTTTATTTTGGGAAATTTGAAGCATGTAGAAAATAGAATAGCGTAATGAACCCCCGTGTACCTGACATCCAGCCTCAATAGTTATCCACATGTAGTCTGTAATGTTTTGTAATGCTTTTGGTTTTTTTTTTTTTTTTTTTTTTTTTTAAAGATTTTTATTGGGGAATTGGGGGGATGGGAACAGTGCTGGGGAATTGGGGGAAGGGGAACAGACAAGTTGCTGTCGTTTTGTTCTTCAGTCTAGTTGTGGAGGACGTTGCTTCACTGGCCCAAGTTGGCACCATCATTGCGCTCTTCTCTGGCGAGGCAGATCAGTCGCCGGCTTCTGGACGGCCGCTCACTGAGGCTGCTGGCCGCTCACGCTGGCTGCTGGCTACATACGGTAGCCCATGGCAACCCACTGCCACAGGGACTGCAGCCTACGCCGTCGCCGGCGACTCACGGCAGCCCAGCTCCAGGTTGAGCTGTTGTTCAGCATCTTAGCTGTAGAGGGCAGTGTCACTGGCCCTCATATGTGGGATCCGAACCGGGGCCCTTTGGCATCCCAAGCGAGTTCTTAACCATCGCGCCACTCGGCCGGCCCAGTAATGCTTTTGGTTTTAATATTCATAGTAATGCTGGCCTCATAAAATGATTGGGAATTGTTCCCTCTTTCAATGACATTTATATTTCTTCATTAACTATTTGATAGAATTTAACCTATAGTTTTCTTTGGTAGAAGGTTTTAGCTACATAGTCAATGTCTTTAATAGATAGGTAATTATGTTAGCCTAGTTCTTCCTGAGTAAATTTTGATAGTTTCTATCTTTCAAGGAATTGATCCGTTTCATCTTAAGTTGTAGAATATTGGGGTATAGAGTTGTTCATAGTAATAACCCTTTTTTACCCTTTTCTTATCATTTCTGCGTTTGGTAATACATGTATGTGTCTTTTTCTGCTGTTCTTTTAAAAAATCAGACTCTGTAGAGGTTTCATTGATGAAAAAAAAACCCCAGCTGTTGATTTTATTGATTTATTTTTCCATTTCATTAATTTCTGTTTAGTTTTTATTATTTCCTATCTTCTGCTTGGTTTGGAAATTGGATTTGCTCTTTTTCTGGTTTAAGGCGAAAGCTCAGATTACAGATTTGATGCCTTTTTTTTTTTAAGATTTTTTTTATTGGGGAATTGGGGGAGGGGAACAGCGCTGAGGAATTGGGGAAGGGAAACGGACAAGTTGCTGTCCTTTTGTTGTTCAGTCTAGTTGTGGAGGATGTCACTTCACTGGCCCATGTTAGTATTGTGATTGTTGCACTCTTCTTGGCTGAGGAAGATTGGTCGCCGGCCTCTGGACGGCCACTCACAGCAGCTCACAGCAGCTCATACTGGCTGCCTGCTGCTTACGCTGGCTGCTGGCCACACACAGTAGCTTATGGCTGCCCACTGTGGCCCCGCTGCAGCCTAGGCCGTCGCCGGCGACTCATGGCAGCCCAGCTCCAGGTTGAGCTGTTGTTCACCATCTTAGCTGTAGAGGGCAGTGTCACTGGCCCTCATGTGGGATCCAAACGGGGGCCCTGCTGCTCAGAGCTGGCGTCCCAAGCCAGCTCTTAACCAACGCACCACTGGGCTGGCCCTGATGCCTTTCTTCTTAATGTAAGCATTTAATGGTATACATTTCTTTCTAAAGGTAAAGCTGCATGCCACAGTTTGAGGCTTTTGTTCCTTTGTGGTCATAGAGGAGAAGGGTACTGAAACAGTTTATGCCCCTCCACAGAAACTGCTGTTTCCCTTCCCCAGCTCTGCACCATTAGGGAGACTTCCTTAGGATTCTTGTAGTCTTTTCTGTGAGTGCTTGGTGGGATTCATGAAAATAAAACCTGCAAAATGTATGGATTACCCCTATATTTGCAGCACACCTCACCCCCGTTTCCCAGGGGGTGCTCCACCCTCTCTCACTCATGCACACTCAGTCTCCATCAGTTTACCAACCATAATAGCTGAATCCTTCTTACTGATGTCCTGCTGTGTCTTGTCTCTGCATGCCAGTGTGCATATCTTATCTCTCCCTGCAAATATCTGTGTCTTCTTAGTTTTGGGACCAGTTGATTACCCTCCGACTACAGCTTTCTGATGGTTTCAAGAAAAATTGAGAACTTGCCATTCGTTGGGCTTTTATGTTGTAAGGCTAGCAGTGCCACTCCTTCCAGCTTTCTACATTCCGCAATCCTAAAGCTTTATTTTAGAGTTCTTCTCCATTTAGGTGATGAATAGTGTCTGTTCCCTAAGACAAAGTTAATTACCTCTTGCTCTGATAGTAGTTAGTACATACTTATATTACTATATTTATCATATTATACTGTAGTTATTTGTAAATATATTGGTCTCTATACTGCTTCAGACGAGCAAGATCTGTATCTTCATTTACCTGGTGCTTCCTGATCAATGGAAGGCATTCACTATATGCTTATTGAATAGAATTAGTACAATAAGATTTTAATTTTAATAATGCAGTCCTGGTACATTGTAAGATGCTGAATATTTGTTGATTAATTCACAAATAGGCTTATTAAGATGGTATTTAAAATAAGTCGGAGAAAGACAAACACCATATGATTTCACTTATTTGTGGAATCTAAAAAACTGAATGTACGATCAAAGTAAACAGAAATAGTCTCAGAGATATAGAGGAAAAACTGATGGTTGCTAGTTGGGAGGAGGGGTGGGGATGAGGGAGAAGGGGAAGGGATTAGACAGCATAAGTAGGTAACTACAATATTGCCACAGGGATATGAAAGACAGTTCAGGGAATATAGTTAATAATTTTGTAAATATTTTGTAGGGTGTCAGATGGTCGCATGTCTTGTTAGGGAGACCACTTCATGGATGGGGTAGAGGCTTGATCACTGCACTGTACACCTGAAGCTGCTGTTGTACAATATTGTATGTCAACTATAATTGAATATATATATAGTTATGGGATGTGAAGTATAGTGTGGGAGTGGAGTCAATGAAATTGTAATAGATATGTAAGATATGGGGGGAGGGGAGTGGGGCGGCGGATTGAGGAAGGGGGGTTGTCACTTTGAAGGGTAAAAAGTACAACTATTATACTGTGTTGTACACCTGAAACTAATTAAAAATAATAATAAAAATAAATATATAAATAAAAACTAAAAAAAGAAATTGAGTTAATGTTTTTTTTGTTCAAATTGCCAGATTAAAAAAATTTGATTCATTTAGAAAGTCTGATTTAATCATTCCAATAATTTAAAATCTTGCTATGATTCAGACAGAAGATTTAGTTGAATGAAGTAATCATTAGTTGTTCAACAAATATTAGTGGGGTTGAATTGTTTTGTGCTCCTGTTGACTCTTTGGGTAATACTATTTACCTGAGAACTTCAGAACAGTGGGTAATAAGTTACTACATTTTGAGGGAGTGGTTCTAAATTTCAAATTGAGCTAGCTGCTTTGAATGAGTAAAATAATATTACTTAGGTTGTATTTAGAACTAGGTTAGCTTAAGAATAATTTTAGTTCTTACATCTTTAAGTGAATAAAGAAAAGACTTGTTTTCAATCTAACTGAATCTTTTCCAGATCAGATTTTCGCCTGTAGCTAAAAAGTTGTTTGTGGTAACTGCGGTGAGTGCTGTATCTGTAATTTTTCTGGCACATCACTTTAAAAGAAGACGTGGGAAGAAGAAAGGAAAAATATTACCCTGGGAACCAGAGCACCTCATACTTGAATACACAAAAAGGGCGGCATCAGACAAAGGTATGTAGAAATGTCTGAATTAAGTCTGCAAAGGAAAGTTTATATGTAAATTATAACTGGAATACAGTCGTTTAATCTCTAAAATTTCCTTCCTTAATATTTAATTCATAAGTAATACAGATTAATTTTAGAAAGATTACGCAAATACAGATAAACTAACAAAAATATGAAAATCACTAGAAACTTTGCAACCCAGAAATAACTACCGATAATACTTTGGCGCATATTTAGTTATGTATATTCCCATTTAAAGATCATATGGAGGTTCAGCCGTCTGGCTCAGTTGGTTAAGAGCCCATTCAAGAGTGCGAGCCCTATGCAACAGGGTCGCTGGTTCAATTCCCCACCCGAGCTGAGCTGCTGCTGAGCTGCCAACAGGTGGCAGGATGGCTCAGCTAAAAATAAATAAATAAATAAATAATAAAGATCATATTGAAACATAAAATTTTATACAGTAGTCTCCCCTAGCCATGGTTTTGCATTCCGTGGTTTCAGTCAACCATCGGAAAACATTAAATGAAACGTTCCAGAAATGAACAATTCATAAGTTTTAAATTGTGCACTGATCTAAGCAGTGTGATGAAACCTCGTGCTGTTCTACTTCATCCCACTCGGGACGCGAATTATCCTTTGTCCAGCACATCCATGCTGTATACGCTACCCACTCGTTAGTCACTTGGTAGCCTTTTACGTAGTTACCAGATTGACTGTCGCAGTATCGCTGTGCTTGTGTTCAAGTCATCCTTATTTTACTTAATAATGGCCCCAAAGCACAAGAGTAGTGATGCTGACAATTTGGATATGCCAAAGAGAAGCCATAAAGTGTATGTATAGGGAAAAACAGTATACATAGAGTTTAGTACTATACTAGCAATGGTTTCAGGCATCTACCGGGGGGCCTTGGAATGTATTCCTGGCAGATAAGGGTGACTATTGTATACAATAAAATTATATATATATATATATATATATATATATATATATATATATATTTTTTTTTTTTTAGCTAAGCCATCCTGCTACCTGTTGGCAGCTCAGTGGCAACTCAGCTTGGGCTGGGAATCGAACCTCTGTTGCTCAGAGCTCGCACTCTTGAGCGAGTTCTTATCCTAACTGAGGCACTTGGCCAGCCCTAATTTATATATATATTAAGTAAAATTCTGATCATACCTTTTGTAACCTCTTAAAATATTTAATAATATGAGTAATGTCCTTCCAGGTCAATAAATATATCTCTGTGCTATCATTTTAATTTTAATTTATTCAGTTTTATTGAGAAATAATTGACAGCTATCATTTTTAATATGTACTTAGTGTTAAAATTGTACAAATAAACACAAATTTAACCAGTTCACTATTGTTCCCTTTAGTATGTCTTTCTTGCTTTGCATATACTTGTCTGATTATTTCCTTAGTATATAAAGTTCTAGAAGTAAAATAGCTGGCCTTTAAAGAATCTGTAGTTACTGTTGGCGATATAGTACATGTTGCTAAATTGTATCAATGAAAATAGTTTCTTGATCATGCTGGATTTTTTTATTAAATTTTTTTTTAATTTTTAAATTTATGATTTAATGTATCATATGCTTCTGTGATTCATGTGTACAGCAAATAATTAATGAATGATTATTTTGTTCCAAGTACAGTGAATATTACAACAATAATGATGGCTCTTACTTAATGAGATTTTATTAGATCTCAGGTACAGTGCTAAATGCTATATATTCACATGTTGTTTAACCTTTGTATCAGTCCTGTGAATTAGGACTGTAATTCTGTGTTATTGTTCCTATTTTATACATAAATAAAATTGAGCTGTGGAAAAGTTAAGTGACTTGCTCAAGATCATATAACTAATAAATACCACGATTTGAATTGAAGAGTGTTTTCACTGCAGCATTAAGATAATCTAAGGCACAAAGTCTTCCCTATGATGAATGGATAGATGGTTAAGGGAGATAGCTGTATAAAAACTACTTACAATATAATGCGATATGGATAAGGTTTTGATGTAATTTGGGAAAGGAAGTGCTTATATTTTGTTAAATTTATAATATAAACGTTCATAGTTGCCGATATTTTTATACTGATCACAAGAGACAGTCAAATACCGCCCTGATTAATAAGATGAATGTTTCATTCATTTCAGAAGCAGATTTTAGCAGTGTTAAAAAACATACAGAGAAAGAACATACAGAGATGCAGCTTTTAATAATGGTGTACGTTTAATAATTTACACAATTGAGTGAAATGTGTTTTAAAGTCAGCTTTCTGAATGAATATATAGCATGAACTTTGAAATTTTATCTAAAATTTATCATTGGACTTATTGATCCTTGTAATATATATGTTTGTTTGGTAGGTTCAAGTTGTTCCAGTAGTAGACAGAATTTGACATTATCTTTAAGTTCTGTCAAAGACAAAGGATCTCAGTCTTGTAACTATGTTAACGGAGGACTTTTCAGTAAATACTCAGGTTCTGCACAGAGTTTGGCCTCTGTAAGTAAAAGAAAACAATTTATTATTATTTTTATAAATTTGTTTTTATATCTATCATTATCTCTTGGTGTAAGTGTTATACAATTACAGATAGTTTTAGTATGCAAAGAACCTTAAGAAATCTTATTGAGCCTGTTTTCTTCAGGCAAATAAAACTATTCTTTTGCTAAATATTCACCCAGTTTGCTTCCAGGTTTTTTTGAGTAAGTGATGCGTTCCTGTGGAGTTCTATGAAAACGGTGGTGATATAGAAATGTTGCTTCAAAGCTAGATGTTCTGCAAAAAACTGGAAGAAGCATCCAGACTTTGTACTAGGTCACAAAAATCCCTTAGTGAGCCTGCTCAGGTAAAAGTGTGTGGCTTGCGGAAGCCAAGTATGGAGTTCCTCATGTTTTTCTTTGGAGCATTCACATAGCATTGATTGACAAGTGAGAAATGAAGTTAGTATTTGTTTAAATCTAATATAGTTTAAAAATCATTTTTAAAATAGGCAGGAGACACACTTGCTACTAACTAAAGAAGAGGCAAGAAATGTGCAGTAAAAGATGTGTTCCTGATCCTCTCACTTCCTCTCCTGAGACAAACTTTGACAGTTTTTATGTATATACTTCCAGGGAGTGCATGCCTCTACCATCAAGTATATTCATTTAAAAACACAGTTTATAGAACATCATATTTTTTTCTGTACTTTCTATATTTTGTTGCAATACATAGCTTCCCCATTCTTAAATGCCAAAAAATATACTAAATTTTTAAAGGCTATTCTGTGGTAGGAACACTAGGTTAAAGGCCTGCAGACTTTTAATTCCTCTGTGCAACTGAGAGGATAACGAAGTGTATGTCTATTCTATAAGTTGGATTTCCTCTGTGTCAGAGAATGCTTCTGGTTTGAATTTTCTCAACTGAAAGTTGAAGCTGTTCTTCTTAACAGGAAGCAGAGAGAGTTTCATGATAATAGCATGAGTAACAAGCCTTTAGCATCATTTTATTATGCTGGCGTCAGCTGACCTAGTGATTCCACTGCCAGGTTTGTAAACAGACTCCTGCCTTTTAATGAATGCCCACATGAGGGTCATGACAACAGGAGTGGAAAGGAGGGTCCTCAAGGCTTGGTAACTGTATATGAGAGGTATGGGAAGAGAAGTTAAAGATGACTTTTAGTTTTCCAGTTCGAGAAGTTATGGGTGGAAATACGTACTAGGAGTGAACATGGAAGGAGGAAGAGTTTTTGTTGTCCCTTTTGGATATAACCCGTCTGAGACACCAGCGGAAGAGCCAAGTAGAGTGATCAAATAGGCAGATGGAAGTGTGGGCTTAGATTTCTCAAAAGAGGACAGAGCAGGAGTTAGAGATTTGGGAGTTAACTGCATAGAGGTGACTGAAATGACTGGCTCAGACTTGGCTGGAGAAGGGAAATTGATAGAGGCCTTTCAGTTTTAGTTGTCAGTTAGCAGAGAAGCCAACATTGTAATAAATTCTACAAGGAAAATTAGCTAGTGTAAAACTGAGTATAAATGGAGCCACTTTTAAAATGGAGTTAGAGTTGCCGACCCAGAGGAACTGCCTTGCGAGTTTAATGCCTCAAGCCTTCGGAATGTTAAAACAGCAAAATAACTTTTGGATTGGGCCTAAAGTAGCATTGTATCCCAAACAACTGTTTTTCAAAGATAACAAGAAATCAGGTATTATGACTACCAGACTGATGACTGCGGATTGAAAGTTAAGAACATTGTTTAGAACTAGCATCACTCTGTTAGGCTTATCTGCACTTACAGAAATGCCTTCCTTCATTGATGTAATTGTTCCCCTTCCCTTTCTCATAAATACCCTTTGCCTTTGCCTCCTAATCAGAACACTGTTTGGGCTTCTACCTGAATCAGTGCTCCCTGAATAACTATTCTTTTGGATCTCAAATAAATGCTTGTTGCCTCTCACTTTAGCCTTTTATTTTCAGGTTAACACTAGTTACCTCAAATCAAAGTAGGTGTGGATAAAATTTATAAGTAAATACTTAATAAAACAGTAAACTATAAAAATAACTGCTTGATTTTCGATGGAAATAACTGCTTTATGTTCAAAATAGTTCTGTTTGTGTATTTCTGAGCAAATAGAGGCTCAGAATTTTTATGGTCTTATGACTCCCAAGTTTGATTGAATATAATCAGATTTATTTTTTCAGGTAGAAATTACATGGGTTGTTTTTACCAAGAATAGGATTTCTATAAATAATTTATAAATGTAAAAGATCACAAAATACTACCACAAGAGATTTTGAAGTAACTTCTGTTGATCTTAATTTCAGGTCCAGAGTGTCAATAGCTGTGCTTGTGGTAATTCTAATTCCTGGGACAAAGCAGATGAAGATGATATTAAACTTGTTAATATTCCCGTGACCACTCCTGAGAATTTATACTTGATGGGTAGGAATAACACAATTCAGTTTTAAGCGATTGTACTCACATTTAACGTGAAACTAAAGAACTGAATTATTCAAAAGGAAGCAACTGTAATTGTAAAATGTTCTTGTTTCTGTTGATTCTAGTCTACATAACACAACCTATTGTATTAGTTTCCTGAGGGTGCTATAACACATTACCACTGGGTGGCTTAAAACAACATAAATTTATTGTCTCACAGTTCTAGAGGCTAGAAGTCTGAAATTATTACTGGGCTGACATCAACGTGTCATTAGGGCCATGCTCCCTCTGGAGGCTTAGGAGAGAATCTGTTTCTTGCCTTTTCCAGCTTCTGGTGGCTTCTGGATTGTGGTCATGTGACTCTAGTTTCTGCCTTCCTCTTCATATCACCTTCTCTGTGTGTATCAAATCTCTCTCTGCCTATCTCCCATAAGGAGAGTGGTGATTGGAGTTAGGGCCCACCAGATCATCTGGGATAGTCTCCCCATGTTGAGACTTAATTTAATCATATCTGCAAAGACCCTTTTTCCTTGTAAGGTAACATAAGTTAATCACATCTGCAAAGCATATGGTAGGACCTGATATCTTTGGGTAGCCATTATTCAGTCTGTTATACTCACCTAACCTAATCTATTAACTCTTTTTTTTAAAGATTTTATTGGGGAATTGGGGGAGAGAACAGCGTGGGGAATCGGGGAAGGGGAACAGACAAGTTGCTGTTTTTTGTTCTTCAGTCTAGTTGTGGAGGATGTCACTTCACTGGCCCATGTTGATATTGTGATCATTGCACTCTTCTTGGCTGAGGCAGATCGTCTCCGGCCATTGGATGGCCCCTCACAGTGGCTCACGGTAGCCCACTGCAGCCTACGTCGTTGCCGGCAACTCACAGCAGCCCAGCTCCAGGTTGAGCTGTTGTTCACCATCTTAGCTGTAGAGGGTGCACCATCACTATCCCATGTGGGAATCCGAACCAGCGGCCCTGCTGCTGAGAGCTCACGCTCCCAAGCCAACTCTTAATCAACTAATCAACGAGCCACTCGGCTGGCCCTCTATTGACTCTTATCTAATGAATCTATCAGAATCCACTTTACTTAATCTGTTTTTATCTAACTCTCATTTGTATTTTTCTTATATCCAGAAAAGATTTTAAGTAGAAAGAAGGCCTGCATTTTACATCCCATTGTTCCTGTTGGCTTGACCATAAGCATGTCTAGAAAGACTCATGGGAGCCCAGAAAGAGAACCAGAGAACATAACACCGAGTCAGATTCAAATAATTTTTTCAAATGTTTTCCCCAGCTCTTTTCTACTCTATTTCAGGCTACATTCCTTTTGATGGAAATGCATACCTATTTAAAAACAAAACTAAAAACCTTGACATAGCCCTGGCTAGTGAGCAGTAACGGGGGTGATGCCGTGGCAGCATTCCCACGCTCTAGAATAGTTAAAGACTAGGTCATCTCTAGTGGTGTCACAGCGGGTACTCCTGTCTGTGGGGAAAGATGTGAGAGTAGTTCTTTTGCCACCTTTCCCGAAGGTCTCCTGAATATAAAGCTCAGTATGCTTCTAGGTTACTCTAATTGTGTCTAGTAAACCTACCTCACAGCTTCTGTTGGAATATTGACAGTTAAAATTGAAGAGAAATAAAGCAAAACTAGAGAAGCTGCTAGGAGTCTGAGTATCATCGAATCAGGATTAGTAGGAGCCCTATGGATCACCTGATTACCCACCACTTGTTTCAGTTGCCTTTACAAATTTGATGACATTAAAAAATAAATAAAAATAAGATTGGTGACATATGTTTGGATTCCTGTTACAACACTGATGGATAATAGGTGACAGTTGGGCCATGTTCCACAGTGCTTCCTGAGAGACAACTCTGCTGGTACATAGCTATTCCTTGTGTTTAGCCAAAATAATCTGATGGATAGGGAGTGCATGAAGTCAGAAAAGGCTGAAGTAATTAGATTTGTATAGTTTGCAAAAGGAGAGCAGATGGTGATATACAGTAATTGTCTTTTAAGTGCAGAAATCTTTTAGAAGGAAGATCTAGGCAGTGATTCTTTGCTACAAAAAAAATTAAACAAGAAGGAAAGGCCTAAATTGCATTTAAAGAACATTTTCTGTTTTTAGAGTTGTAGTTTCTCCAGATAATGAAGAAATGATTTTTGAGGAGACATATTCTTAACTACCATATCTTAAAAACATCTTGAGAATGACTTGCCCAGATTCTTAAGCATCTTTTGAAGAACTTTTTCTTTTATATGTCGAGAAAAATAGAAGTCATGAAATATTTTTATTTTGGTAAGCCCTTTTTTAATTTGGAGAAAAAGAGGCACGTATTCACCTATTTTCCCACATCAGCAGGGATATGAAATTCCTACTTGAACTATTGTATAATCCTTTATGGGTTCTTCCCATAGTCTTGTAGATTTTTAACTGGCCCAGCAATTTATCCATCCAAATCAGCTAATTGGTATCTTAGTGGTTTCAGAAACTTTTTAGTGGAAAAAAAGATAGAAAATACTTTATTCTAGACTTCTATGCTATTATCTTTCCTGTCAGCTTTACTCTCTCCATCTGAGAACCTTTATAAATCTGATAGCTTTTTATCAACTAGTTTGTTTTATTGACCTCTCAGTTTTCTTTTTAATTTAGGGGGACATTTTGAAAAATGTTGTGTGACTATAAAAATTAGCCATTAGTGTTGGACTTTTAATGAATTCATAATATTGGTCTAGAAAAATTCCAAGCACTATATACGTTTGAATTACATTTTTTTTTAAATGAAAACATTTTGGTCATTTCTCTCTGGTTTTTGGTTGACTAGAACTGTATGCTGGAATATATTGGGAAATTAGGGTTCTACTATGAAATGATGTGAACATAAAATTACTCTTCAGTGCCAAAATGATAGTCAAACTGTGCCATGGGTGATAACCGTATGAAAAACACTTCAGACCCCAAATGATTTTATTTTGGCATTCGTTTTGCTTATTTACAGTTGTTCTGTTCTTAATTTTTAGGTATGGAATTGTTTGAAGAGGCATTACGTCGATGGGAACAAGCTCTAACCTTTCGAAATAGACAGGCTGAAGATGAAGCTTGTGGTTCTATTAAATTGGGTGCAGGAGATGCCATTGCTGAAGAAAATGTAGATGTAAGTGTGATTTGTTTGAGAGTGGTCTTCATAACACTGGAAGAGTCAAACTATTTTTAATGTTGATTCAGTGTATACTTGCTTTCTGTGGCATTTAATAGAACTGTTTATTTTTTCCCTTGGGATTATTTGGGGATGTTTCTTATTGGGCTTTTTCTGTTCCATTAGTTGTTAAATCCTAAGTTTGCAATTTATCATCAAGTTTCCTGATTTTCTAAGAGTGTGTAGAAGTAAGCAGATACGATTTCTAAAGGAATTTTTAAAAAGCCTGTTTTGGGTTTTGGGTTTAATCCAAAAAGGCACATAGAGTTACAGTGTTTCCTGAAAGTAAGACCTGGTCTTATGTTAATTTTTGCTCCAACAATCTACATTTATTCATTTCTTCATGTACAAAAATCTGCATTTATTCAACTAGTCGTGTCTGGCTGAGGATCTTAACTGGGGCTTATGTTTGGGGTAGGGCTTATATTACGAGCATCCTGAAAAATCATGCTAGGGCTTATTGTTCAGTTAGGTTTTATTTTCGAGGAAACATGGTACAGCTGAACTGGTACTTACTAATCATCTAGGATAGTGCTTCTCAGATTTGGTCATGCATCAGAATTACATGAAAGGCTTGTTAAAACACAGATTTCAGGACCCCATCTCCAGCGTTTCTGAATCAGTGGGACTGGGGTAGATCCTGAGAATTCGTGTGTCTAACAGGTTCCCAGACAATGTTGATGCTGCTGGTCCGGGGACCTCACTTTGAGAATCCCAGATCAAGTCCAGCTCCTTAATGTTACAGATAAAGAAACTGAAGCCCCAAGAACTGAGACGATTTAGCCAAAGGCCCAAATAGAACCCAGGTGTCCAGACTTCTGTTGTAGTACTCTCACCACCCAACATCAGTTGTTTTTTTTTTGGTTTGTTTTTTTAGCTGAGTCATCCTGCCACCTGTTGGCAGCTCAACGGCTGCTCAGCTCGGGCTAGACTCGAACCGCTGTTGCTCAGAGCTCAAACTCTTGAGCGAGCTCTTAACCAACTGAGCCACTCAGCCGGCCCTCAACATCAGTTTTTTATATCTCTCACTTTCTCTGCCTTTCACTTAAAAGTGGAAAAATGTTTAAAAGTTTAACATTAGAATGTCATATTTACTGTGTGATTTTTCTCTCTTTGTAGGATATTATTAGTACTGAATTTATCCATAAACTTGAAGCTCTGCTGCAAAGAGCATATCGTCTCCAAGAAGAGTTTGAAGTGACCCTGGGGGCATCTGATCCTAATTCCCTAGCTAATGACATCGGTAAGATGGATAATTTGTATGGTTTTATGTATGATTTTCTTTTTTATATTCTTGGAACCAGTAGTTTAAGTGGACTAATATGGTTATATATTTTTTTAGAAAATAGCAAAGAGAAAAAAGTTCTTAAATATTTTTTTCTTTCAGTTTTATTTTTCAAGTCAACTTAATGCCCTTAAGATATAAACTCAAATACGTACCATCGGTAGGATTGTGACATTATTTTAAAATTATATTCTAAGTGGAAGAATACCAGTTAAAGTGTGAGAGGTAGGAAAAAAATAATAATATAAAAATGGGACATACACATACCACCTCAGAAACATGCATGCTGCTCATGGCATACATTTGAAATATTTTAAGAAATTATGTATCTTGGACCTCGTTTTAATTGTAGGCTAGATGTTGATGTAAGTAATTGATACATACACTATTATATGCCGTTACCTTTGTTTCCTATTTTAAAGAGAAAAGAACTTCAAAGGACTTCTTAAGTGAAGTCTTAAAAGGAAAGAATGATTAAACTTGCTTCCCCAACTTCTGTAACTGCTCCAAAGTGAAATAAGACAAATTATATTACATTTCTTTTTGTCGTTAAAAATAATTTGTCTTTTCATTTAAGGAAGATTATTGTTTTCCAGTAAAGAAAAAAAATAGTTAAGGAGCGTTAAGCTTTTCCACACTTACTTATGAACATATAGTACTAAAAGTGGTTTCATTTATACATATCTATGTATTTTGAATTTAGGTAAAAGATTTCATTTGTACAGGTAAACCTTGGAGATAAGTGTGGGTTCACTTCCAGACCACTGCAACAAAGCGAATATTTCAATAAAGCCAGTCAGATGTATTTTTTGGTTTCCCAGTGCATTTGAAAGTTATGTTTAACCCTATACTGAGTCTATTCAGTGTGCAATAGCATTATGTCAAAAAAACAAAACAAAACAGTGTATATATCTTAATTTTAAAATACTTTATTGTTAAAAAATGCTAACCATCATTTGAACCTTCTGCAAGTTGTAATCTTTTTGATGGTAGAGCCTTTTGCCATGGTGTTGATGTCTGTTGACTGATCAGGGTGATGGTTGCTGAAGGCTGCTGTGGCAATTTCTTAAAATAAGACAACAATGAAGTTTGCTGCATTGATTGACTTCCTTTCATGAACCGTTTCTCTGTCGCATGCGATGCTGTTTGATAGTGTTTTACCCACAGTAGAACTTCTTTTAGAATTGGAATCAATCCTCTAAAACCCTGATGCTGCTTTATCAACTAAGTTTATATAATATTCTAAATTCTCTGCTGTCATTTCAACAATCTTCACAGCATCTTCACTAGGGGTAGAGCCCATCTTAAGAAACCACTTTCTTTGCTCATCCATAAGATCTTTGTGCTTTGAAATTTTTCTTGTCTTTCAAATAAAAGCATTTTTAAACTGAGGCAGCAGTATTGTTAAAAACCAAAGTATATTTTAAAGTTTTATCGTGAGATTATAGCAATTCAGGCTTCACTTCGAACTCTTGCTCTCTTACTGTTTCCACCACATCTACAGTTACTTCCTCCACCCAAGTCTTGAACCCCTCAAAGTCATCCTTGAGGGTTGGAATCAATGTCTTCTAAACTCCTGTTAATGTTAATATTTTGACCTCTTCTTGTGAATCATGAATATTCTTAATGGCATCTAGAATGGCGAATCCTTTCCAGAAGGTTTTCCATTTACTTTGCCCAGATCCATCAAAGGAATCTCTACCTATGGCAGCTATAGCCTGACAAAATGTAGTTCTTAAATGATAAGACTTGAAAGTCAAAATTCCTCCTTGATCCATGGGTTGCAGAATGGATGTTGTGTTAGCAGGCATGAAATCAACATTAATCTCATTGTACATCTCCATCAGGGCTCTTGGGTGTCCAGGTACATTGTCAAAGAGTAGTAATATTTTGAAAGGAATCTTTTTTTGAACAGTAGTTTTCAACGGTGGGCTTAAAATATTCAGTAAACCATATTATAAAGAGATGTGCTGTCATCCAGACTTTGTTCTATTTGTAGAGCACAGGCAGAGTAGATTTAGCATAATTCTTAAGGGCCCTAGGGTTTTTGAAATGGTAAATAAGTATTGACCATCTTAAAGTCGCCAGTTGCATTAGACCCTAACAAGAAGTCAGTCTGTCCTTTGAAGCTTTGAAGACAGACATTGACTTCTCCTTTCCAGCTGTGAACGTCCTAGATGGCATCTTTTTCCAATATAAGGCTGTTTTGTCTGCATTGAATATCTGTTGTTTAGTGCAGCCACCTTCATTAATTATCTTGCCTAGATCGTCTGGGTAACAACGTGTTGCAGCTTCTCCATCAGCACTTGCTGCTTCACCTTGCACTTTACATTATGGAGACAGCTTCTTTCCTTAAATCTCATGAACCAACCTCTGCTAGCTTAAAACTTTTCTCTGTAACTTCCTCATCCCTCTCAGCCTTCATAGAATTAAAGAGAGTTAGGGCCTTGCTCTGGATTAGGCTTTGGCTTAAGGCAATGTTGTAGCTGGTTTGATCTTCAATACAGACCACTAAAATTTCCTTCCATATCAGCAATAAGGCTGTTTCGCTTTCTTATCATTTGTGTGTTCACTGGAGTAGCATTTTTAATATCCTTTAAGAACTTTTCTTTTGCATTCACCACTTGGCCAAGTGTCTGGTACAAGAGACCTAGCTTTCGCCCTGTTTCAGCTTTCAGCGTGCTTTCTCACTAAGCTTATCAATCATTTCTAGCTTTTGATTTAAAGCAAGAGGTATGTGACTCTTCCTTTCCCTTGAACAGTTAGAGGCCATTGTAGAGTTATTGATTAGCCTAACTTCAACATTGTTGTGTCTCAAATAGGGAGGCCCAGGAAAGGGAAAGAGAAGGGGCGGCCAGTCAGTGGAGCAGTCAGAACACATACATTTATAGATTAAGCTCACCGTCTTATATGGGCACGATTCATGGTGCCCCAAAACAATCACAATAGTAACATTAAAGATCACCAATCACAGATGACCATAACAAATATAATAATGAAAAGAATGAATTACCAAAATGTGACACAGAGACATGAAGTGAGCAAATGCTGTTGGAAACATGGTGCCAGTAGACTTGCTTGATGCAGGGTCGCCACAGACCTTAAATTTGTAAAAACACAAAATCTGCGAAGTGCAATAACTTGAAGTATATAGTAAAGTGAGGTATGCCTGTATTAGAATTATGAATTACTGTCTATATGTCATAGTAACAGTTATATGAAACCTCTTTGCATTAATTTTGGCCCTTGTTTTTTTCACACTATTATTGTCACCAAAAATTATTCATCAGACTTGAGTATTTTTTCATAATTTCTCTGCTCTTAACGTAGGTATAATGTTTTGACATATAGAGATTACAGGCCAGAAAAAAGTGGACAATATTTATGCCAACAAATAGAATTTTTCAAAGCTTTCTTTTTTGTTTCTTTCTATACAGTTTTTTTTTCATAACTTTTAGAATATAACTTCCTTTTGTAACTTTTTGTAGCTGTTAGGATGATATTTATTAGAGTAACTAGGAGAAAGAACAGGTGGAATTAAAAAAGAATTCAAATGTAAAAATTGGAATGGAACAACTAAAAAAAGTAGGAAAGTGGTTAAGTGGCAAGGAAACCCACAGAGAAAATGAAATAGGAAAAAATTAGAAATATAAGGGAAGAAGAGGAAAAGGGCCCCAAAACTTTTAATGTCTGTTCTAAGAATTGACGCTTTGCCCTTCGTGTTTCAATCTTCTACGTGCAGTTTTTTTCTAGCCTCATGATGAGGATCATGTGACTGTGTAGTTCGTGTACTTGTTAGCCTTGCAATATGCATCTCAGGTTCTGTTCTTTTTGGGCATGCCCCAAGTTTTTTTTTTTCTATTGACAGTAAAGTCTTGTGGAGTCCATCTCTGATTTCTTCAGGTTATCAGCTTATAACGGTTTCTTAGGTATTGCCCAGAGGGTCTGCTTTGGGCTCAGCTTGCATTGCTTCTGGACAAGAAGACCCCTAGGCAAAGGGCTTAGTTTCTGGGGCCTTCAAATTGTTTCTCAGGAAATTGTGGTTAATTTAGAACTCTAAATGGGTAGGATTTCTAGAGTGGGACCCATACTCAATCCATATGTTTACTTAGCTAAGGTTTGGAATAAATTCTTGACCCCACCTATATATGTCTTTACCTGGGCTGGCACTGCCTGTTACTGCCATGGAGATTTCAGTTGACATGAAGCCGTTATATTTTGTGCCTTATTGGGAAATGTCTGGATATTGTTCTGTTATTGCCAGTTTTCAGTTTTGAACTTCTGGGTTGAAAGCAGAATCTATGGCCAAGACCCTGATAAGGGGGTAACATTATTATATCTGTTAGTTGATATTAATCAAAATTGCTTAGAAGTCGGTTAACTCTCCTCATTCATTTAATCCAAATTCATTTCACGTAATTTATATTATTGAGAGGCATCTGATAGGTAGCAGTCATAAATAAAGAGAGGTGAAATACATGCTGTCAGAAGCTCAGGATGAATTTAAACCAAATATTGACCTGAGGTCAGTGAATACTTGGTTGTTTTGGAATTTGCTTTGTCTTATTTGATAAAATTCATTTTTTTTCTCCGAATAATTTGATAGGTTTTCAAGATTTCTTAGCAGTTACCTGTTTACCTCCTTTTGCCCTGTGCTTAATGTGTAATAGTTACCATTGTTTGCATGTCTCCATGCGCCAGGACCTTTGCTAAGCACTTACATACATCATAGTTTCTTGTCTGGTCAGGCACTGTTCTGAGTGAAAATTACCTCAATCCTAACAACAACTTGTATGAGTTAAATATAGTGCTCATCCTCATTTTTTCAGATGGGGAAAGAGGTACCCTAGGTGTTAAATAACTTCCCCAGATTTACATAGGCATTAAGTGGCAGAACCCAGCTTTGGTCCCAGGCAGGCTAGCTCAGCGTCATGTGCTTAACCACTGTGCTGTCTCAC